TAAATTTCTTTGCTCTAATATTTATATAGGTTCCCTAATAATTTTTCATTTTCTTAAACACATCTGAAATGATAATACCTAAGTAATTTGTCCTTGACGAACCCGAAATTATTTCAGAGCGTGGATGACTCAGCCTGCCTACTCAAAATGTCTTTTTCTCCTGCCCACATATTTACTGATCGAATAGAAAAATTGTTGCCCATTAGACTTTTTCATATGGGGTTCGGTACTTAAATTGATACTACAGAGTAGGTCTTAGTGGAATTTTAATGGTTTCTTTTGCTGCAGAGTAAATACAAATTTATTCCTTTACGGACAAAATATTTTCCCTCCCTTTCACATGCGTTACTTCTCTTTATCCATGTGCATAATTTTTTATTTGCGTGATATAGAGCATACTGCATTTATCTGTGATGTATCGGCCCCCAGTTTATGAGTTATGTATTTATTGCAAATACGGTTAGTTATGTATTTTCAGTTATATATTTATTGCAAATACGATCCTATAAAGCTTAAAGATTTTAACGTTAAAAATGAACCTAAATAGCGCAGCAGAAAACCTATAAACAGAGCTAATATATTTACATTGTGATATAAATTTTATTCAGAGGTTTCAAGATACAAATTTTATCAACTTTTATTTCTCCACAGCAAATAAGCTAGCTCAGTTACGAATGTTCGCACTCAGAAAAATCATTTTATTTGGGAATACATTTATATCTGGACATTTTTTCATAATTGAAAATTAATAAGAAAAGAACTCGATTGATGAATGAGCATTTACAATCCGTGATGAAGATAATTCTGGCTACAAACTTCAGAATCAAAACGCTGTTAAGTGTCAAGCCGTAGTAAGAAATAAAAAAGTTTATAATTATCTACATTCAAACATATGTATTTTTATTAATGCATCGAAGAAAAATTAAAGAAGAGAAAGAGATTAGGTTGTCATTATTTATTCTCAGGTTTTTGTCTCACTTAAAAATCTTTCTCTGTAAATTTGGAAAGCTTTCATTATTTTTAATTTAAATTAAAGTAAGTTATTTAAGGATTAATTAAACATGTTAGATTATTTGAAATAAATATTAATAATAAATTTTCATTTTGTTAGAAAAGGGGAAAAATAAAATTAGACCCTTCAGCTGTTTTCAAATCGTGCATTCGGCCGCATTCAGTTTGAGTTTGAGACGACTGATGTATGTTATTAAGTTAAATTAATAAAAATAAAAATTAGTTTAATGTCACTCGAAGTTATTTCGGTAATTTATATATCATGCCATGAAGGTAACTTATGTGTTTATGTATTTTAAATAACTGTGGACAAGCCGCACAACATAATTACACATAAATACTAAAATAGTTGTACATTATGTATTTTACCACTATACCGATGATGTGAAATAAGTTACTGCATGAAACTTTTTTTTCTGTCAGCTTGAGATTATGTATTCTATACATGCTTTGGCAAGTGTTACCTCATCTTAAAGATAGTCTGCTTGTGTTTTATTATCATTCAGTTACGGCAACAAACCTCATTTTAAAAGTATGAACCGACTATCTCAGTTTACGGCCACTAGCGTCGAGTGGTAAATCGCTGAACACTGGTAGTTTCACGTGGGTTAGATTCCAGGTGGACGGCTCGCTGCATGGTCGTTTTTGTCGTTTCCCTACGTGTAACGTGGATAAAAGCAAATTTTACTTAGAAAGTCCTCCCTGAAGGCTTGTCAAAATAAAAATAAAGATATAGTTATTGACAGCAAAATCAGGTTAAAATTAATTTAATAAATTTCAACAGATAGTAAACTTGTCAAATATGCAAACGATTCCACGCCATTAATACGCAACATTTAGCTGTGTGGGTGGAGCAACAGATAATGCATGCGTTTTTTGGTCAACATAACATAAATAAAAAAATTATGGGCCCAGAAAATGGGCCCACCAGCGGCCGAGCGGTAAAGTCGCTGAACACCGGTATTTCGGTTCGGGATTGGAATCCCGGTGAGTGTGCTGGCTGTTTTGGCGTTTTCGTTTTTTTCCCACATGCAACGTGTTTACGAGCCAGTTTCGCTTAAGAAGTCCTCCGCGAAGGCTCCCGTCACATTAAGCAGATAGCCATCGAGTTCTTTGCCATAACTAAATAAACGAAATCAAAGCAAACCAATCCCATAAGCAGACTGCCATCAACAAAGTGACCAAAACCAAACCTGTATTAAATTACTAACTTGGGATCGTTCATTCAGCTGAGCAATTTTGTGTAAAAATTCTTTCTAGGTGTTTTTTTATTAATTTTTGTTTCGTTGTTGTTGTTGATTCTTAAGTATGCGTGCTTGTATAAAAAGTATGAACTTCGCGTAGGCGAATATAACTTTCTACATATTCAGTTTTCAGTCGTATTGGGAATTGGTAAAGAATGAGATAAATTGAATGAGCATGTTTGATTAACAGATGCAGGTCTAAGAACGCGACGTAAAGTAATTGTTAAATTATATGTTTGAAATTGATGTTTCATTTTAAATATATCGTCAATAATCTAATGTTCTGCGACTCTCGAAAAGATTATTGTCAAAAAAATGCAGCAGCATTATTTTAAATCTGGGCTTTGTATAAAAATTTAACTACCTGAACAGATTTTCGGTAGACGAGGGGAAGAGGAGTGGGCGCGGCTTCGCCGGTATTGGCGGTTTCGTCAGCATGGTTTCGGTTCTTACCTTATATGGTTGTGCGTTACGTCGGCCTACTTCTCTTCCTCGGCTTTTAACGCAGTGTACCGCAGAGTTTTTGTTTGTTCAGTTCTTGTTTCTCTTCTTATGTGAATAGTGTTCTTGTCGCGCTTCGTAATCCCTGTCATGAGCAAGCTGAGCAGCGAGTTATGCTAATTAACGTACATCCTTAGGCGGATGCTCCTTGTAAATTATCTAAACGCAGCTTAAGATTTAACTGCTGAGGTCCCTCCCTCTCTTCTGAAACTCTGCAATGAGAATGAGACCTCGGCTTTTTTTTATCATTTTTCTGTGATCTAGTACTAGAGATAATGATTGAGCTCTTTGGAGTTTATGAATAGCGCTTGATGAATTGGGTCAAATTACCCATTATCAAAAGAACAGTAGTGTTTCATTAGTAAAAAGATTTTTCTACATGAAGCATTTGGTTATCACTTTTTTCTTTCTCTCTTAAGCCCTGAATTTGTCTGCCTATGGGCTTGCTACTGGCAAAATTTTCTCCTCGAAAGTATTTATGAATGATGAGCTGGCATTTAATATCGTTGTACCATCATCATTTCATAAATTAATGCTGAAAAGGTGGAAAAACTTTTAGAATTATGCATTGAGCTTTTAACTGACCACTATACCGGTCGAACGAATCCCCTCACACCGGTAGATCGACCCGGGTTCAAATCCCGGCTAACCGCATGGGCTGTTTCATACGGGCGTCTTTTTTCTCCATTTGTAACGTGGATACGAGTCAGTTATCAGAGACATCCCTACACTAAACACTGTTAGTTCCGTCCGGTGTTCGAATCCCGCGAACGGGCTGGTTGTATGAGCGGTTTCGTGCTTTTTCTCATGTGCAACGGTGTACACTGACTACCAATAAGTATTTGGACACCTGTGATAGAAAAACTGACTTTATTCAAAATCAATAGTTGGTAGAGCCTCCACGAGAGGTAATTACAGCGTGAACCCTCCGGGGCATACTTTCCACAAGTCTTTGTATGACAGCCAGTGGTATTTTCTTCCCCTCGGCTTGGAGAAGGCATAGAAGTTCCTTCACTGATTTTGCACGGGTAGTGCACCCCTGAATTCGGCGATGCAACTCGTCCCAGAGGTTCTCGATAGCGTTCAGGTCTGGTCTCTAGGCAGGCCAGTCCATTTGATGAACTCCATTGGCACCATACCAAGCCTTGGTTAACGTCGAAACATGATAGTTGGCATTGTCGTCCTGAAAGTAACGGGTCCAACCCGTACTGCAACAACGTAGGAAGCCCATTGCCATCCAAAATAGTGCAGTAGGCATCGGAGTTGAGCTTACCATGAATGGGGACCAAGGGTCCCAGCTCATACCAGGAGAAACAGCCCCAGACCATAATTCCACCTCCGCCGAACTTGACTGTTGGCACAATGCTTTCTGGCAGGAGACGTTCTCCAGGTAGACGCCAGACCCAGACCCTGCCATCCGAACGGTAAAGGGTGAACCTTGATTCGTCACTCCAAAGAACACGTTTCCACTGATCTACGGTCCAATTTCGATGTGCTTTGCACCACATTAACCGAGCAGCGCGGTTGGACTTTGTGATCAAAGGCTTATGGGCAGCAGCACGAAAATGAAAACCAAGCAGATGTGCTTCCTTACGGATGACATTCATTGAAACAATACTCCCGGATGTCTGTTGAAACTCTCGTGGATGAGGGCCATCGGTTGGGTACGGTTCTTCCGAATTTCTCTGGAAAGCTGTGGAATCTCCAACCCTTAATGCTTGGCTTGTGAATCTGTCTTGGATCTGTGTGAGTGGTTGCACTATCTATTTCCTGCTTTAGAACTGTTTTTCAGCCGCCCAGACGCTATAGTGAGTACGGCGGTACCGGGTTCGAATTCCGGAGAAGGCATGTATGTTTGTAAATGTATAATATCTTTGCGGCATGGGGGCACTCTAAATATATTAAATATATGGTGAGCCGAAAGTCCTCTTGTGTGGATTGGTGGTAGGGGAGAGGGGTAGGAGACCCTCGGACCATCCCCCCCCGAGGTGCTCTCCCACAAAATTGGGATGGAAATAGAAGTCCAACTTCCTTGAGGTTCTGGCAACCATTTTTCCATGAAATTCATAGCCAAGACAGCGACAATAACAACAGAACTGTTTATCACATTGTTTAAATGTATATTTTTATTATTTTTCTGAGGTTATTTCTATTAAATAGTATTTACATTTTAAGAAATTGGTTTTTCAAAACTTTATTTCTATCAATACATGATTTTTATATTTACTTTTTATTTTCTTACAGATATCAGATATCATTACTGGATTATCTGATGAAACAGTTAGCGCCCGTGAAGCTCTTTTAAAATGGGCACAACGAACAACAGAACGTTACCCTGGGGTTCGAATTACCGATTTCACAAATTCTTGGAAGGATGGATTAGCTTTTAATGCTATACTACATAGAAACAGGTAATTTAAACTGAACTTTCTGCTTTTCTTTCTCCTGTAATAATGAGATTGTGGTTAAGTAGTTTAAATGAAAAATTCTTATCATTCTGCTATAAATAACATTGTTCTTAATGAAGTCACAAAAAACAATGTAGTAATACTGAATTCAAGTATATTTGTTACTTGTTACCTAACCATAAAATTCCTTTACGTGGCTTTTATTTTCGCCGTCGTTGGTAGTAAACGTGTCCTTCCTAAAAATGATCATGCCACAAATATTAATGTATTGATATTTAAAATTTTAAAAAGTGAGTAAAAAAATTGCTAAATCTAACCTTTTATAGTGTTTCTCTGCGCCTATAGTAAAATTTTGTGGTCATCCTTTAAAAAAAATACGTCTATGCCATAATTAATCGAGATATTTAAAGTTTCAAACTATGCTTTCTGAAAATTAAGGCTCGCACATAAATTGAGACGGAAATATATATTTGTAGGTAACTAAAAATAAAATATTAGCTTAGCGAAAAAAAATATGTTAATAAATTAAGTCAGTGGTCTCAAACTCATAATGTATGCAGGCCGCCAATGCGCGATGTGAAAGCAGTTGACGTCATTGACTTTTTAACAAAATAAAAGTGCATCTCTTTCTCTCTCTCTCTCTCTCTCTATATATATATATATATGTTACCTAAGTACTGTGTTCACACAGATGTAACCATTTTTAATATGTATGTTTTGTAACACTAATCAATGTGCCCTATGAGAGGATCTCGTGTGGCTCTAACATGACTCAGCTTTAGATAAGGGTGGACGTGGCGCTAAACCAATTAACCATAATGGTAAAGGGGTGGTGCCCACGTCCTCCGTCACTAAACTAAACTAAACGATATATATGTTACCGTGAAAGACCGACATTGGAGAATGTCGACTTTTACCGGAGAATATCAACATTCACCAAATACGTCGGTGAAAGACCGAATATTTCACTACATTCTTGTATATTCGGACCCTCACCGGTGTATGTCGACAATCACAGATATGCTCTGGTGAAAGTCGATAAGAGTGGTCATAAAGTGCCATAATAGTTTAAGTTGTTGCAATAAATAAGATTTGAATCACATAATTTAGTAAGTTTTTTATTGCTGTTATTTATTTTCTCATTTAGAACGTACTGTATAATTAAGTAAGTTTTTAACTTCTATTATTTTCCTTTCTCATTTTGAATGTATTGTGTGTTTTAGGTTCTCATGTTCTTAAGTTCTTATTTCAAGTTTCAAGTGCGTTTAATCGCGACTGAATTACGGAGAAGAAAATATAATATTGTTATATGTTTAACATTCACCATTAGTACATGGTGAATGTCGACATTGACCGGTGTAAGTCAGAAATAAGAGTATTTGGAAAATATTTCGGACATACACCAAGAGACTATGTGAATGTTGACATTCACCGGTGAAAGTCGAGATTCTCCAGGTGTCGGTGTTTCACCGTAACATATATATATCGTACGTACCTCTAATATATACCGTCCGGACGGGATAGTGTTTGGAGATTCTGACTGCCATACCGAGTTTGAATCCCGAAGAAAGCATTGAAGTTTGTAAGCGTATAGCGTTTGTGCGCCAACGGGCACTCGAAGTATATGGCAAGCCGAAATCCTTTCGAAGGCCTTGTGGGGAAAGAGGAGTGGGAGACTCCAGAACCACCGCACCCTTGTGTCTTCTCTCTCGGAATTCCGTTCGGGACGGAAAGTTAGCAGTTAGCAATGCCCAACGATACCCAGTATGTCGACTTGGAAGCTCTAGTGCCGACCTTGTTTCATCCTGTAGCTGTACCCCCACAGTATATGGATACCACCTATTTATAACCCAGTGTTATGCCTTGACGACTGTTTTGCGTGAAAGTTTATGTTACGTTTGGAAATTTTAGTTTTAAAATTTAATTTGCGTCGAACATGGTTTAACTGAAAATGTATTTCGATAAATTGTATTTTTTTTGCATTGCTTTCAGTTATACCTATTAGCATAATAAACGTGTAAAAAGTTGCTGAATTTTATTTTTTGTTCAAATTTTTAAAAGTATTTTTTTTTTTTTTTTTTTTTTTTTTTCTTTTGTTTTAAACCTTTTTCTGATCAAATATCTTCAATGAGTGTACTTTCTTGAAACTTCAGAAATTTATTCAAGCATCTCTTTTTACGTTACAGATTTTTAAAATATCCACTAACTTCACATTTATTAAGAAATCCCACAGGAAAGAATTATAAAGTTAGACCTTGACGTGTGTTTCTCGTTTTAGCCTTTTATATTGAGCATTAATTTTCAATGACGACAGATATCCGTTTATACTTATTAAAAGCAGTAAAATATTTGTTTGTATATTCTGATGCGCAACATTTAAGTGCATTAAGTGATGAATTATTGTCCCTTTTGTTCGTAGTTTCTGTCTTAAAAGACAATGATGTAAATTTCTTTTTAAAAATGGACATGAAATTAAGAAGAGGTGTGAACGCCTTAATTTGTATGTAATTAATTTTCAATGCATAAATTAAATTTAATGTTACTAGATATTATTATACATTTCGTGCTATTTTTGACATAACCGATAAAATCTTCATAATCCAAAGATGAGCTAAATATCATTTACGCTCTTCTACATAAGGGGAAAAAAAAACCTTTAATATCATTGAAAACTCTGAAAAAAAAGTTCACGAAAAAATTTATATATGAATTATTATTAAGTTTTGGAATAATGTCTTTCTACCAAAATAATTTTGCACAAGTCAGATAATTTGTAAACTCCGTTAGGAAATAACAAATATAGTTAAACACGTCGGCTTTAAAATTATCCAAAATCCTATTTTAGAGTGACATTCATTTTAAAGAAATTTCCTGCGCATTTCGAAAGGATTTCACCAAAGTTTCTCCGTTTTGTCGTTGTAAAATAATCTTTTTGTGTAAGCTGCATATTAAACTTAAGTTCGTTTATAAAATTCAGGTAACTGCAACCGCAGATTAGCATTAATCAGGAAGAAATGTTGTTGCAGACGGAGCTCTATCTTTTTTCATTTCAACCCGTGGTTTAACGATTTAAAGCTTCCGAACAATGGTAGTTTTGCCTAAAGTTCCATTCTCAGTGATTGGAATGTCTGGCTGCTTGGATTTTCCAGGATTTTCTTCATATATTATTCTGAGTTCTATTAAACTGGAAGTAAAATCTTTACATTTTTTTTATTTATTAATAACTCTTCTTTCCGTGAACTGTATAAAGTTTGGATCATTATTTCACGCGTATCTGGCAGAACTGCTCTCGTAGAAAATTATGCATTAATTTTTAAGCTCCAGTTCTGTATGCATAAACTTCCAAAATCCAGTCCTCATACGAGACGTCAACTTTCCGATTATAATTTGAAAGGAATACGCGAGTTAATTTCACATGGCAACAACGATTCTATTATAATTGCTTATTTTTTGATACTGTAGGATTTTTCTCCGAAGCAAACTGAAGAAAAATTCCAGCAAAGGGAAGACACTTGTTTTTATAAGCTAAGCAGTGTTTTAACTGTAAGCGACAATATACACTTCGAGCAATGTTTAACTGTCAGCAATAATATGCATTTATGAAGTAATAAATCTGAAGTTATTCCATAGTGATAGTTCTGTTGTAAATTTGCTGGCTGATGTTAATACAAATTAATGGCTTCTTTGCATATATTCCTTCTGTTTGTAGTAAATCTTCTCTTTATTCAAATAGTAATGTTATCAGCAATGTTTTACCTAAAATTTTTAGAATCTTTAAAAGGCAATTTAGAACAGACTGTTATTGGTTTTGCTTCCGTTTAGAATTAAACATCTGTATGAATTTATATAGGTATGGAATTTTTGATTGCCGTATATTCGCCGTATAGCGCACCCTTTTCGTTACGAATAAACCTAAAAGATGCATATGCGATTTTGAAGTCTCTCATTCGAAGATTTTTCGCAGACTTTCAAAGAATGGTATACTTAATTGACAAGCTATAAGGGGAATAATATGGGTGGGGGAAATGCTTGAGGGAGTAACTATTTCTGCAGAGAGGCTGAGTTGTGTTCATTGCAGGTGTGCACAAGAATCTTATTCTAAGGTTTCGTGAAAAAAGGGGATATAATTTGGAGTATGAATGTACATTAGAATGAATTCGCAGGTGGTTTGCGGAAAGGAGAAACGAAATGGCCTAACCTAGAAAAAAGTCTTGGAAGATTTTGTCCTAGCGAATTGGGTGCTAGAAAATCGCCAGAATCGACAGTAACATAATTTATGTTAATGTAGAAATCTAATTTCTGTATGCTGATCTTTTCCTTATTTTTAAATCTATCATTTTTGTGTCCGGCCTACGACGCGCATCCTTAAATTTCGATCTTTTTTTTTTTTTTTTTGTATTAAATGTGCGCGTTATACGCAAGAATATACAGTAATCCTTTTAACGTTTTCTGGTCTAAAAAAGTAATCTCATAAATTATAAATCTTGTATAGTCATTCGAATCATTTCGACTATAAAAAGCATCAGTTTTAGTGTGTCTCTTAGTTCCTTTTCGGAAAACCATCATACTTTTTTGATCATTATCTAGCTTTTTAATTTAGTTAAGAAACCAAAATTTACTTGATAGTTGTCTTTTTACTGAAAATGATAAATTTAGATAAGACAGAAAGTAGAGAGTGTATGGGCAGTGAATCAATTTCCAATACCATTTGCTTTGTATGGATTAACTTATATTATTCAAACGTACGAAACTAAAGCATAGAATTATCGTAATAATTTCCAGTAATATGCTTGAAATTTTACTTTGTTGTTTAATGCTTCTCACTAGAAAACTTAAATAATCTGTAATAAATATGGAATACCATAACTTCGTATGAGGAAGAAAAGCGTGATAAATTTTATTATCAAAACATAGTAGATGCCAGTTACTACAAACTGCTACTACTAATATTTGTGTGTCTCACATCACCAATTACTATTTCTCGCATTTTTGTCACACATTAT